AAAATTAGGAGGATAATCTCATAATCTTAGCATTGGAGAGAACTTCTTAAGCAAGAAACGTAAAAGATATAAAGAAAAATTAGTAGGCATTATTGATTACATAACTCTAAATTTTTATAGAACAAACATATAATAAATAAAAATCAAACTACAGGCTGAGGGAAATATTTGCAATACATATGACAAGCCAAAAGTTATTTTTTCTAATAAACAAATTGATGAGAAAATGACAAACATCTCAATAGAAAAATATTTGCACAAGCAATTCACGAAAGAAGAAATTCAAATGGCCGATAATTAAAAACACTTGAAGACTGCTGAAAGTAGGTTTTAAATGTTTTTATCACAAACAAAAGATAAGCATGTGAGGTGATGGAGATGTTAATTAGCTTGATTTAATCATTTCACAATATGAGTATATATAAATGAAAATATCACACTAATATACATAAAATTTTTATTTGTTAATTATAATTTTTTTTTTGAGGCAGACTCTCGCTCTGTCACCCAGGCTGGAGTGCAGTGGCGCCATCTCAGCTCACAGCTCACTGCAAGCTCCGTCTCCTGGGTTCACACCATTCTCCTGCCTCAGCCTCCCAAGTAGCTGGGACTACAGGCGCCCGCCACCACACCCGGCTAATTTTTTTGTATTTTTTTAGTAGAGATGAGGTTTTACCATGTTAGCCAGGATGGTCTTGATTTCCTGACTTCATGATCCACCCGCCTCAGCCTCCCAAAGTGCTGGGATTACAGGCATAAGCCACCATGCCTGGCCTCATAAAATTTTTTTTTATACTTTAAGTTCTAGGGTACATGTGCACCATGTACAGATTTGTTACATATGTATACATGTGCCATGTTGATGTGCTGTACCTGTTAACTCGTCATTTACATTAGGTTTATCTCTTAATGGTATCCCTCCACTCTCCCCCCACCCCACGACGGGCCCCAGTGTGTGATGTTCCCCACCCCCCTGTGTCCAAATGTTCTCATTGTTCAATTCCCACCTATGAGTGAGAACATGTGGTGTTTGGTTTTCTATCCTTGCGATAGTTTGCTCAGAATGATGGTTTCTAGCTTCATCCGTGTTCCTACACTACAAAGGACATGAACTCATCGTTTTTTATGGCTGCATAGTATTCCACGGTGTATATGTGCCACATTTTCTTAATTCAGTCTATCATTGATGGACATTTGGGTTGGTTCCAAGTCTTTGCTATTGTGAATAGTGCCGCTATAAATATACGTGTCCATGTGTCTTTTTAGCAGCATGATTCATAATCCTTTGGGTATGTGCCCAGTAATGAGATGGCTAGGTCAAATGGTATTTCTAGTTCTAGATCCTTGAGGAATTGCCACACTGTCTTCCACAATAGTTGAACTAGTTTACAGTCCCCACAACAGTGTGAAAGTGTTCCTATTTCTCCACATCCTCTCCAGCACCTGTTGTTTCCTAACTTTTTAATGATCGTCATTCTATCTGGTGTGAGATGGTATCTCATTGTGATTTGGATTTGCATTTCTCTGATGGTGAGTGATGATGAGCATTTTTTCATGTGTCTGTTGGCTGCATAAATGTCTTCTTTTGAGTAGCGTCTGTTCATATCCTTTGCCCACTTTTTGGTGGGGTTGTTTGATTTTTTTCTTGTAAAAAAATATGGAACGCTTCATGAATTTACGTGCCATCCTTGCACAGGGACCATACTAATCTTCTCTGTATCGTTCCAGTTTTAGTATATGTGCTGCCGAAGCGAGCACATAAATGTTTTTAACTAAAAAACTTTAAAAAGCAAAGAAGATTAATATCAGTAGTAGTTAGGGATATGCAAATGAAGCAACTCTGCAATTTCCATAAGACTAGCAGAAATTTAGAAGAGTAGAGATGTTGAACAGAGTGTGGGCATCTATTTAAGATAATTGTCAACCTACATTTTTATATGGATGGATACGCATGAGGAAGAGTCAGGTGAAAAGAAGAAAGTACAGTAGTAGTGAATGTATATGTCATAATTTCATTTTATGTTTTCCAAGTATCAAAACCCATGTACATATATGATTGTATATGTTTGGACACAGAGAAAGATGGTAAGGGTACAAAACAGACTATTAAAATTAGTTATTAACTATCAACTACGGCTATTATCATTGAGGGGGTTAGATATGGAAAGATGTGGCTTAGAAATTATTAGCTTTTCTTTATATGTTCTTTGTACTGTTTCACTTATTGGGTGTTCAATGTGCATAATTTTATAATTAAAAATTAATTCATAACTAGGACTCTTAGAAACTATTCCCAATAAAACACCCCCCCAAAATATTGTCCAAAATACTGAAAATGCATGACTCTTTAAATCAATGAGTCATTGGCAAGAAAGAGGAATTCTTAAAAGCCAAAAATGACATGAAGGTCTCACTCCAGAAAGATAAGGAAATGCTTTAGTTAGCGGCTTCCCTGGGGGTATCTGCCAATGCCTGGTAATCTGTAGTTTGAATTTTAGTGGGCCCCTGGCAAGGGCAAGAAAAAAGAGCTAAGCCCTAAGCAATGTGAAAAGTCAGATCAGAAATCTCACTCATAAGGACCCCCAAATGCTGACACATTAATAAATGAATGAAACAGAAACACACACATGCACGACTGTGGTAAAGGAACTTGCCTGTCTTGGCTTTGGCTCTCAACAAAGTGGGAAAAAAGACTATTCTGGGCTGGGTGCGGTGGCTCATGCCTGTAATCCCAGCACTTTGGGAGGCAGATGTGGGTGAATCACGAGGCCAGGAGTTCGAGATCGGCCTGACCAACATGGTGAAACCCTGTCTCTACTAAAAATACAAAAAAATTAGCCAGGCATGGTGGTGCATGCCTGTAATACCAGCTATTCAGGAGGTTGAGGCAGGAGAATCACTTGAACCTGGGAGACAGAGGTTGCAGTGAGCTGAGATAGCGCCACTGCACTCCAGCCTGGGGGACAGAGCAAGACTCCATCTCCAAAAAAAAAAAAAAAAAAAAGGAAGAAAAAGACTATTCTGAGAATTTGTAACTGCAGCCTCATTTCCTTCCATGAGAGCAGAGTAGGAAAACTGGCACATGTGCATAGTCTGAGAAATCTAAAGCTATGAATTTAATTCAAAATAGTGTGAGCTGTTAGGGAAAAATTGAGGACAAATTGATTCAGAAGAATGCTCTTTTAAACACAGGAATCCAAGGAATTCCACAAAGTATCGTTACATACATAAACTTCCCTTAAATATACACTCTCACAATAAAAAAATCACTCAGATCTTAAGAAAACAAGATGAAAAAAATCAAGAAAAACGACCAACAGCAGAGGTCCACAAAGACTTCAGATATTGGAGTTACTGTATTGTATAGTAGCGAGTTATTGTTTTGTAAGAAAGGAACATAAAAAAAGGATTCCTGATTCTGTCTTTGGGGTAGGAAGGGCACGTGATAAAGACATTCATTCAAAAGGTAAAAGACAAACCAGTAAGGGTTTTAGAAGATTATCCTGGATCCTGGAAGATGTTTATAATACATATAGCTGAGGAAAGAGGCGACTCCAGTAGAAATCAGCAAGAAAAAGTCAGACAACCCCAGAGAACAATGAGCAAAACAGTTGCACGGAAAATCAAAGAGAGGATATGCAAGTGGTTAATAAAGATCTAAAAAGGTGCTCAATCTCATTAATAGTCAAGAAATTTAAATTAAGTCCACAGTGATGTATTTCTATACTCATAGCAGGATGGTAAAAACGAAAAGATTCTGACAATTCTACATACAGCATAGATACGGAACAATAGGAACTCTAAACTACCAATGGCAAGGCTGTGAATTGGTCCCAACTCTTTGGGAAATACCTTGGTATCAGCTTGAGAAGCTGAAGATATGCATACCCTGCAACCCATCATTCCCTATCCTGGATGTATAACCTACAAGAACACCTGCCCACGTGCTCCAGCAAATGCACACAGAGTGTTCATAGCAGCATTATTCTTTTTTTTACATGAATAAAATTTTTAATTTTTTTGACATTTAAAAACGTTTATGAATTCATTTAACATAATAAACTTATTACATATTGATATAAATAACATTTTTATGTAGAAAATCCTAGTTTTTAAAATTATACTTTAAGTTCTGGGATATATGTGCAGAACGTGTTACATAAATGCTAGGTATATACATAGCAGCTTTATTCTTAACAGTTGCAAACTATAAGCAACTCGGTAGAGATGTGTGTAGTCATACAATAGATGGCACAGCAATGAAAATTGACAAAATACAGCTACACACAACAATGTGGATGAAATTCATGAATATAATGTTGAACACACAAAGCCAGGCACAAAAGAATACATTCCAACTGACTCCATTGATATAGAACAGAAGCAGACAAGAACAAAAACCTATTTAAGGGAATACATACCAGCTTGAAAATGTAAAAAAGAAAGTCACTACCATTAGCTGCCTTCGAGAGCATAGGAAGGGGCTATATCGAAAAAGAATAAGCAAGGACCAGAAAGTGTTGGAAATCTTTTACTCAATCTCAGTGATAGTTTAATGAGTGGTCACTTCATAATAGTTCTTTAGACCGAACATTAATGTTTCATGCATATTTTTATCTTTGTATTTTTTTTCACAATGCATATTTTCACAAAAAGGAAAAGTAGTTCTTCCTTGTTTTGTCTCCTTTTCTTTACTAACCGAACTAGTCAGTCCTAAAGCCATTAGATAGGCAGAGCAAGGTAGGCGTTTGCCCCAAGGGGAAGGGAGCCATGGCTGGCTCCGTGTGGGCATCAGAGCTGGAACAGGTCAAGGAGGGTGTCTCTGTAGGAGGGCTGCTGGCATGGTGTGCTGGAGCCAGGGGTAGATGAGAATGTCCAGTGAGGAGGCAAGAAGCAGCATAGCATGGAGACCAGTGTGCCCATGTTGAGAAAGGCATCCCCCTGGGGCTATAGGGGCAGACTGGCACAGAATGAGAGCCTGAGTGGGGTGACGAGAGTGTCCAGGTGGGGGAGCAGATGAGGGAGGAGCCTCAGAGCTGGAGCAAAGTGAGGAGCTGTCTCCATAGGGAGAAGGCCTGATGTGGACTGTCCGAACTGAAGGAGGGTGAGGAGGGTGTCTATGGGGGTGGGCAGCCAGACATGGAGGGTCAGAGCCCAAGGAGATGAGGAGGATATGTAGAAGTTAGGGTGGTTGGCTGTGGGGAGTTGGGCCAAGCATAGTGAGGAGGGGTTCCACAGAACAGGGCTGTTTTGTGTCAGGAATCAGAGCCTAAGCAGGGTGAAGAAGGCATCAATGGATCAAGCAATTCTCCTGCCTTAGCCTCCCCAGTAGCTGGAACTACAGGCGTGCGCCACCACGCCCGGCTAATTTTTGCATTTTTAGTAGAGACGGGGTTTCAGCATGTTGGCCAGGTTGGTGTCGAATGCATCCTGATATGGCTGTTGGAGCCCAAGTAGGGTAAGTTGGGCATCTTTGAGTGGCCCAGTGTGGAGGGTGAGAGCCTGAGTAGGGTAAAGTTTGATATTTTTAAACAAACAAACATGTAATATGTATCTACACATTTTCAAAAAATTAAAACAGGAGTAATAGTGATAGGTTATATTATTATTCACAACTATTCATTCCATCTTCCCTTTAAGAGGACACTCCTGCCCATTACCTTGCAATTTCAGAACCGCCTGTGGAAGGAAGAAATATTTCTGTCTTATTGACTGTGGGTTTGCTGTCGGCTGTGCTTTGCCTATTGGAATATGAGCGGATGTAGCATATGCATTGTGAATTTTGCACTATGAGTTTCTGCCAGCTCCTTTGTGCTTCCCCTCTGCCAGGAGAAGGGGCCTAATCCACATAGAGGCTGCTTCTTTAGTCTTGGTCCCACAGCCTTGAGTAGAGCCCCCGCCTGGAACAAGGGAGTAGACAATTTGCCTAGGAAGTCTTTTGTTGTGGCAAGTCATGGAGAGCTCAAAGTTATTTGTCCCCAAAGTAATAAAAATACAGTTGATTCCTGTTACTTGGGGGTAGATATGTTCTGTAAAGTCACTGTGAACACCGGATTAGCAAATACTGAGCCACTGCTCCTAGGGAAAACGCAAGCCTCTGACCACACATTTTCATCATTTGATCAATACATAACCCTGTTTTATGTGTGCTTCTGTCTGAAGACACATGATATAGATGGTAATTAGAAGGTGCACACAGAAGGCTTCTGGGAGGCTGGCTACTTTCTATTTTTTAACCTATGTGGTTAATTATTAAAAAAAAAAACTCTACATAATTTTTTTTTTTTTTTTTTTTTGAGAGGGAATCTCTCTGTCCCCCAGGTTGGAGCATAAAGGTGTGATCTCGGCTCTCTGCAATCTCCACCTTCCGGGTTCAAGGGATTCTCCTGCCTTAGCCTCCCGAGTAGTTGGGACTACAGGTGTGCACCACCACACCCGGCTAATTTTTATATTTTTGGTAGAGATGGGGTTTCACTGTGTTGGCCAGGCTGGTCTTGAACTCCTGAACACAGGTGATCTGCCTGCCTCAGCCTCTCAAAGTGCTGGGATTACAGGTGTAAGCCACCGTGCTGGCCCTGTCTTTATTTTTTAAACGTGTATATAGGCGCGGTGGCTCATGTCTATAATCCCAGCACTGTGGGAGGCTGAGGCAGGCGGATCCCTAGGTCAGGAGATTGAGACCATCCTGGCCAACTCAGTGAAACCTCGTCTCTACTAAAAATACAAAAAATTAGCAGGGCATGGTGGCAGATGCCTGTAATCCCAGTTACTCGGGAGGCTGAGGCAGGAGAATGGCTTGAACCCAGAAGGTGGAGGTTGCAGTGAGCCAAGATCGCACCACTGCACTCCAGCCTAGCGACAGAGTGAGACTCTGTCTCAAAAAAAACAAAAAAACAAAAAAACAAAACCAAAAAAACCCCACATACCTTATATAATATATATTATTGTTTCGTTAACATTGAATTGTGGCTGAAAGCCCTGT